CATATTGGGAACAAATTGTGGGCGTTGGGGTCTGCTGATCCCACATGCAGGCCTCGCCCGACATAGTCATTCGTTGCGCTGCTTCTTGTTGCTGAAGAGCGCCTCCAAGCGGTCAAACCTGGAGTCCAAATCGTGTGCTACCTCATTCTTGTGGCTCTGAAGTGCATTGTGGACTGCTTGGCCAACTTGTTCAGAAACACCTTTGATTTCATGGTGTAGGCCTTGCAGTTCCGTTTGATGCGTATTCAGAGTGTACTGGATGGTCTGGATGGAAGTCTCTGCAGCTTGAACCTGCTGGCCAAGTGATGAAAACCAACCTGAGAACTGGAGTTGCTGAGCTTGCAATTCACCCAGGGAGTTCTCAATCTTGGTGAAGCGTTTCAGGTTGTCAGCCTGATGCTCGTCAATGCTGTCAGAGTCCATGTGACCACTGCCTTGCTGAAGCTCCTCAAACTTTTGTTCCATCGCTGCAGTGAGCTCATCTTTCAAGTTGCCTGCCATGGTTTGGAGGTGACTCTTGCCCGAAGCTGCTGGTTTGGCATTGGTGGCAGGCTTCCATGGGTCCATCCCTGGAAGGGACCAAGGGTCAATGGTTGAGGCTGCTGCAGATGGTGCAGAGCGCAAGTGCTGCTGCGTCCTTGCTGATGCAACAAGTGTTGGCTGTGGCACTGGTTTGTCTTCTCTTGTGAGCTCTGTGATGAGAATCTCCCTGCCAAATGCCGTGATAACTTCTTGAGGAGGTGATGTGGAGGCTCCAACCTGCCACGACATGGCTTCGGCATTGCCCTTCCCAGGCTGCAATGGTTTCACTGCCCAATCAATATCCTTGAGAAGCTTAATAACCCCTCCACGTTGAAGTCCATGTGGTAGAGGAAACAGCTGAAAGATGCGCTGGACCTGGGTGTTCACCCAAGTGGCATCAGGCTTGATCTGGCGAAATGTCTGCTCTTCATGTTCTGCTAAGACACGAATGCCGTACTTCTTCTTCATCCTGACAAGTCCAAGAGCATGAACATGTGTACGGCATGTATGGGCAGCTTCATCAAAGGATCGCGCAGAGAGCCAAATGACTCGGTAGCGCTCATCATGTCCTTTGGTCTTTGTAGATCTGGGCTCAAAGTAGATGCCAGGTGTCGCAAGTTGCAAGAGCGCATCCAAGATTGAGGCAGGAATCCTCAGAAAGACTCCAAAGATTTGTGCATCTGCGGCAGGTATCTTGCCACCCTCGAGCTTAGTGAAGCTGCGTGACCATATTTCAAGCAGGATGGTGTCCAGGTCTTCATCCACCGCAGGGTGAGATTTTGTGCAATCATGGCCACAGTCTTTGCCCTGGCATAGTTGCAGACGTGGAACAGCTTGGCACAACGTTCGCACTGGTGATTGGGCCAGCTGTTGCCACGAACCAGAGAATTCATCTCGAAAAACCTGCACTTTGATGACCTGTGTGTCAACCAACGCTGGTTGCTCATGGATTCCAGGTACATGCTGGTTGATCTTGATGTCGCCCAGGTTCTTAAGGGCCCCAAAGATCAAAACTGGTTCGCCAGTACCGGTGTATTTGGCTGCGAAGGAGATTGCCCGAACATCATGTTCATCCATGAAGGCTTGTGGCGGTCGCTCAGTCAAGAGGATGGCCAAGGGTTTGGAGCTGATGGATTGCTTGGTTTGGATGAAGTGACAGCCCTGTGCCAAATTGCATATTGCTATGCCCGTGGCCTCTGCTTCAACTGCCGAAAAGGGGATCTGCTGCACCACATCGTCATCAGGATCTCGAAAACTCGTGTGAGTGAGGACAAGTTGTTCCGGATCCAGGGTGATGTTGGCTGGAGTTGCCTTGTGGGCAGGCTTCTGCTTCTTCTTCCCCTTGGCATTGGCAACATGTGCGCCAAATCTTGTAGTAGAAGTTGCTGCCACATGCTTGGAGAGTTCGTCAGGTAGAACAAGTCGCAAGGAGATCGAGGGTCTGCTCGCTATAGCCTTCAAATATGCCCAACAGTTCTTGGCTGCAAAGGCTTCTTGGATTGCTGCTACCCCCAGTTTTTGGGTGACCAACTTGGTTCGTTCTGACACTTCGGTAGCGGGTACTCCATGTTGTTGAAGCAAAGTGGTCAGTTTGGTCTGAAGCTCAGCTGGCAATCCAGGGCCTCGAGCAATGATGCAACTGGCCGGTTGGTGTGAGAGCAGCCATTGGTGAAGGGGCAGGAGGTTCCAATCAGTCTCAGGTGCAGTGAGGCGCAAGTCCAATGCCATTTGCACCAGAGCAACAGTGCCGCAGGTGGAAGGATGGGCTTGCAAAAGTCCATTGCCCATGTGGAGATCCACAAAGTCCAAATCCAGGATTCCACTCAGCTTTTTGGCTACCAGGGAAAATGTGGTGAGCTGATGACCCTGTCGAAGTCCATCATGAAGGGTCCAATAGATTCCATCTTTCAGCTCATTGCAGCACCCCACAAGGAGAAACCAATGCCCATGGTACTCACAGATGACATAGATACTGCCACTGGATCGCTGGTAACTGGCTTTCCAGGTTGAGCAGAGGTCATCTGGCAGACTGATCTGCAGAAACTGGTCTACCCGAAATGGGTAAGTAATCCAAGGCTTCAATGGGCAAGGTGACTCGTCAAGATCGGCCACCATCGCACGCATGTAGCTCCAGATGATCTTGTCGCCAAGTCCATGGCCTTCATCATGGCCACCACCAGTGATATCCTCCATGGGGAATGGCTTGGCCTGGGCACTCTTGCAAAGCGCAATCGTGTACTGAAGGTCAGTGTGTAGTAGTGCTGCAAGAGGGACTCTGCTGCCTTGATGTTTCACGACTGCAAAGTGACCCCATCCACATAGATTCTTTTCTGCCATCGCCAGATCCCGCACTGTGGTTGGCTTGTTGATGGTGACCTGCAAGACAGTCTCTTCATCTTCAACGCAGAGTGAGATGTTTCTCGGCAAATACATCTGTGGGGTGACCCATTGTCGGAAAGAATGCATCGTCAGGTATTGTTGGTAGACTTTGATGCACATTGATGGGTCAATGCCTGTCCATCCCCATGTCTGGTACTGCAAATTCGCAAGGAGATGGGACTGCAACCAAAGCACCTGAAGTGGTGCAGCAATCTGACCAAGTAAGCTCAATGCTGATCTTGGTGGCATTGGAAAAATGAAGCTTGGTGGAACTGTGCAAAGTAGTGCACCTTCTGCGGGATGTAGGTGCCGACATTTGCCAGTACAAGCTGACAAGAGGCCAAATCCACGGGCACCTCCTTGTCGAAGGCGACGATCACTGAATGCAGCTCTGCATCCACATGGACAGGGGCGATTGACATGCGCCCATGAATGCAACATGGTCGGAGCTTTGTCGCCTGGCTGCAGCACTCGTTGATCATGGCCGTAGGCCGGATCCATGTAGATTGCGACCTCACTTGCATCCCATTCCAATTGTTGTTCTTCTTCTGGGCTCCAAATGGCATCCAATGGCATGACGTCTTGTAGTCGTTGATAGTCAGTCGTTTTTGGCCATGGTTGGATGCTAGGAGCTTGAATGTCCTGGTGGAGCATGTAGCACCAGAAACGGTTGCGCTTCACTGGCCATTGATGCTGAAGGTCAAAGACCATCTTGTGGCATGACATGGATGCATCTTGTGCATATTTGTCAATGTAGGCTTGGGTCTGTGGAAACTGGATGACGTTGTCAACGCATTCCAAGAGCACTACGTCAGCTTGGAGGTACCAGGCATATTCAAGGATGTAGTGTAGTCCATGACTACGGTGATCTTCTAGTCCATGCATGTCGCCTTGTCGTGAAAAACCTTGGCATGGAAAACCTCCAGTGATCTCTAAGAAGGCACCTTGGAGCTGCCTGTGAATCTGCTTCAGGATCTCGTCATCTTCAAGATCCCCTTGATACACAAGGCCATCAAAGTTCGCACGGAGAGCAGTGCACGCAAGCTGGTTGCGTTCAACAAACGCTTCGGTCTTCAAACCCAAAACTTGTGAACCAATTGAAAAACCTCCAATCCCACTACAGAGATCAAGGATAGACATGGATCGAAAAGCCCCTTTGTTTGGGTGTGACAGAGCTTCAGTGGAACTCACAAACTTGCAAAGATCAGTGTCCTCTTCGGCTTTCACCAAACCATAAAAGGTGTACTTGCCTTTGTCCAGATCCGGTGCGTCCACAATCTGGAAATGCTGGACAGGCGAGACACCGCAACATTGAAGGGCCCCCTGCAAGGAACCAACCACATGTGCTACCACCTTGAATTGGCAGCCTGGAGCGATACCTCTGATCAAGAGGTCCATGGGGGAAGAAACGAGCTCTCTACTTTCAGTTGTTATCAGGATCACCAGCTGGAAGGTGTAGAGCCAGATCCTTAAAATCATTGGGTATAAAATATAAATATCAAATGGGTGAAGTAACATGAAATAACCATAAAGCCAATCGTTCTTATTTCCCATAGTCATTTGTCAAATGGGTAACATTCTTAGCTGGATATGGGTGCCCCAAAATGAGCTGAACTTCAGAGAGATGAAGATCGATTGGCCCTGGTCTGATCCAAGAGCAATCAGCGGGTATCTGAGAACGGCAATGATTTTCGTGGACCATGGTTGTACCATGTTGTACCCGGCAAGTACCAATTTTTCTGTTGCTTGCACACAAACGTTCGCGTTTGCTGGCTCCCGCAAAGAGATCTTACACCGCGCTTTTGTCGTATCCCGATTTTTGTTGGTTGGGTCCCCTCGAGTAGTCAGTCATGCTTTGTTGTGTGTCGAAAATTAGTCGTCCCAAAAGTGATTTGTCGGGAAATGAAACAGTCACGGCAAACTCTAATCTTTGGCTTCTAAAATTCATGACTTACAGTACTTGTCGCTCCAGTTTGTGAGTTTGAGTTATAAGCTACAAGTTATACATGTTATAACCCCAGCTATCACTGGACTAGTCCTACTACTTATTCTACGTTGTAACTGGGGTGAACTAAGCCACGCAGCCACTACCCTGTCAGGACTTGGGCGACAGATTCTCCACCCTCGTCTCAGGCGAACTCTGGATGATGTGGATGGTAGATCTTTTCCAACATCTTATACATTCTACCTTGATGGTGGTAATTTCGACAAAATTGAGCTTCGACATTTGATTGGTTGACGTTTTTTTTTTTGGGCTTCGCTCATATCTTTTTCCATGAAATCAAGCCAGTCGAACCTCGCCGAAAACGCTCCAGTCGAGGTGTGGAAGAGTTGAGCAAGGCGGTCAGTCCTCTGTCGTCCATCACTTTTCAGTTCAATCTGGAGACAGACTCTTGGATGAAACTGTAGGTCAACATGGAGGACCCAGGGAGCGATTTCAGTGTTAAGTAACAGTTAAGTACATTTCATATTTCGGATATTTTCGGATGATCTGAAAAGGTTATTTTTCTAATCCTGACAGATGACAACTGATCATGGCTGATCATGATCATCATTTTCTGCTTAAATGGCCAAGTTGCCCCACTCATGCAATTTTTGGGCGCCCAGGAGACTCTGCACCGAGCCGACGTCTTTGCCACGAAGAAGAACTATGCACTGAACTTTTCATCTGCGGCCGCTTGGCCTCGATACGCCTGTGATGTAAACTGCAAAAAAGATCCAGATTTTTATTACACCAAAGCCATACAAAGAATACGAGAAATCTCCTGGAATTGGATGGGCAAATGTGCAGGAAACTTATAAACAATAGTAAAAACCATGGTTTCCTGCATATTTCCTCCTAAATCCATCCAGGGATCTCTGTGATTGCTCATCTTCGATGTTTTTGAAGTGCTCGCCAGTGCTCGCCCTGTGATTACAGGCACCCAACTTTGACAATATTCCCATCGTGTTCCAGAATGTGAAGATAGTTGCTCTGCAAGCACAGAAGTCGAAGTTGGGGAAGTTGGGCGCTTCAAGAATCAGCAAGATCTTGACAGATTTTGTTTTGTGCGTTTAGCTTCATCATTTCATGAGTTGCCTTATGTTGCCTTGAAATGGTTGGGCAAACGACCCGTGAAGCGAGGATCATTCGCTGCCAGATGTACACAATGTTGAATTCTCCACGCACATTCTCCAAGGCGGGCAGATGTCACAAGTCATGGGATTTCCACGAGAGACAAGTCATGGGATTTTTCACGGTTGATTCCATGGGATTCCCAAAACCCCCAGGACACCACATCTTGTCATTGGGTCTAGGTCAAATTTGAAGCCTCCCACAGACGAAGTGCTCATTCTTTTGCAACGTTTTTTTTTTTGTTTGAGCTCACCCGGCTTAGCCCTTCTTTTTCGCTGGCGATTCAATATCCCATTTTCTTGAGTAGATATTTGTTGTTTCCATAAAATCTCCATTTTTTTCCCATAAAAATCACATTTTTTTTCCAGAAAAATCACCGATTCTTTGTTTCCATAAAATGGGACTTGTTCCTGGAGCTGCAGGAACGGTGATCCAAATCATCGGACCTCATGACTCAGGTGCCCAGTTGGTGTCATGGGGATATGATATATAATATGAATACACGTATGTACAGTATATTTGTACATATACTGTATCTATATATATATATGATATGATATGATATGATATGGTATGGTATGGTATGGTATGGTATGATATGATATGATATGAATATATCTATATATATATGCATATATGCATATATATATATAATTGTATTCATGACTGATTATATGACATGTTGTTTTGTTGGTTGATGACTACAACGAGGACATATACAATGGGTGTATGATTGGGATGTATATGTATAACCAACAATGTTATGTTTAAGCGATTGAGTAGTTTCAGACACCCTGGTTGACTCGTTACCTTAACCGCGATTTAACCATCATCTAATAGGGGTGAGTTTCCGTGAATCCAAACAAACATGTTGGTTGATGATCATTCCTATTTTATGGGGATATAAGGTGGATGTCTTGTTTTTTTTTTCCAGTAACCAACGATATGATTGCTTTTTGTTGCTTCACGAGATGGGGTTTTGTTGCACGTACTATTCTGGTGACTTCATAGTCCCTCTGATGTCTCCCATAGACGATGGTTTACTCCAAATCCAACCAATTGTAATCCCACTCTCAACACATTGGGTTTGAAACCAATTCATTGTTGATAAAAAGCATGGCATGGCATGACCATAGTCCAAGAAAAAATCAATAACTCCGCCAACTCCCAGCTACCTTTTTGCAGGCAAAGGGCAGCTTCTGAAGAAAATCTGTGGCCCTGGGGCTGCGGAGAATATTTTGTGCCTTGGATCGGAGGGGGATGTGATGGAAGCAGCACAAATTCGATTGATTTCAGGGAAAGTCTATATGAAATATGTTTAGAGCCACATGTATAGGCGTATGTAGCTAGGTGTTTCCCCTGAGATTTTCTCACAGATTCTAGGATTGGATGAAAATTCTTTGTGTTTGAATTGATGGGTCGAAGGAAGTGAGCTTGGAAACAGAAAAATAATTTGAAAAAACACCGAAGACACCTTTGGATTTTTGGAAAACGCTAGGAACTCTGTTGGACACACACACACAGAGACACAACAGTGCCATTGTTTCTTCCCCACTTTCAAGAAGAAAAACACAATGTATTTCTTTTTTTTTCTCGGGGAGGGGTTCTTGATTTCTGAACTTTAGAGAGCTACAACCTCTCGTTTCCTGCGATTTGAAACACGGAAAGTGGTTGGGTCCCTGAGTTGACAAGTTGACCTTCAGGATGTCTCCGCATCTCTTCGCATTGCAAGTACCACACGACACTCAGCCGAATGGGACTGGGTGCTTTGCTTGATGCTATTCGATTCAAAAAGATGCCTTGTCATCAACGTGATTTGATGCATTTTATTGTAACGTGGGGGAAATCGACCATTTCTTTCGTGCCGCCATTATTTTGGAGCGTCCTTTCTGAGGAACCTCTATTTTTGGAGCGCGGCACTCAGCAACTGCCAAGATGAATCTGCAAAGAACAGGACTTTCAAGCCAAAGAGGTGTTGAAGACGCTAGGAGAAGACTGAGTTGGCAGGGTTTATTCCTAAACATGACAAGATCTGTGGTTATACATTGAGGTCTCATGGGCTATTTGAAAACCTTCACTTGGTGAGCGCAGCGTTGGGCCCTCATTTTTAGTATGCAAGGAAGCTGCAGAGTCTGGTTGGGAAATTCAACCGACAATCGCCACAATTATGGACATCTCAGGGATAAGACATGATATTCATATAGCTGATGCAACTGCTATAAACAATAATCTGTGAAAGCATCCAGCATTTCCTCAAAGCCTGGAACATTGCGGGCCACCAGAAGTCAATAGCCCCAGCTTTTTGGTTGCTTCCCAGTCCCAGACTTCACCGAGTGGCATCCAATGGCTATGGATCTACACTTCTGAACCTTCAAGATATGAAAGTTGGGCAGTTAGACAGCATATTGAAATATATTAAATCCACTTATATAACTCCTCAATCCTCAAAAATAGCAAGTTCAGGGAGTCAGGCACAACGGTCGGAAGTTTTGAGCCATCCCCTCATGTGGGTCACCCCCAAACTTTTATTTTTCCCGGGGGAAATGCCATTCAAAGCATGGGGAATGCATTGCATGGTTGACATGATCAGTCATGGGTTTGTTCCCCCAAAACAGGGAAACCCCAAAAAAGAAATCCATATTATTAGTTGGTAATATTCATATCCATTTGATATCACATCCATTAGACATCCATGAAACACTTTGAAAAATATTGATGGCTCCATTATATATCCATAGATATCCATTATGATATTAGATTAGATGATATTAGATTGTTTGTTGAGAGTTCAGAGACATTAACATCGGATCTATCAATATCTCTTTTTTCGACATCCCCATCAGACAGGGCTCCGAAGAACCTGGGGTCCACCGACGGCCTCGGAAGGGACCGGCATTGCGATGTGAAGTCCGCAGAGCGTGGTCTCAGTATCTTAGCTACACGCCTGGGCATTTTTTTAAATACATGTACATGAATTACATGTACTGTATAGTATATTTATATTATATGTAGTAGATAATCGAAATGTATTTGTATATTAGGTGTATACAGTGTGGGTATATATATATATATATATTACAGTATCTGTATCATACTGTATCGATACACATCTGAATCTACCTTCATAGATTGTCTGAATCTACATCTATAGCTCTCCAATATGGAATATATACATCTGTACAACCAACAAAGAGGGGAACATGTGTCAAGATGGAAAAAACAACAGTAGTTGGGCTATGTTCAAGGCAATATATTGGGATAGAACACGCTACCAAATTTTCAAGATCCAAGTACAACAATCACGAAATAGACTATGACTTGATACGAAAGTAAGAATGAATGATGGGTCAAAATATTCAGCATCCACAAATATCCACTTAAAATGCCTGGAGATGTCAGCGTCGGTTTTTTCCCGGTGAGTCGACGAATCCACCGTATTCATAATTTCTATGTCTTTGGATACCATGGTATTGACCTCTTTGTCCAAAAATGTGGTATACATTGGTATACCGTATATACCGAAACCAAGATGCTTTCCACCAGTGGAGAAAAAAGGCCAAGAAATAGGGGTAGCAAGTGTTTTGAACTCCCTTTTAGACCAATTTGTGAGTGTTATCTGCACGATTGCCTTCTAGTTAGCAGGTTTTACAGATTCTATTCAATCCTTTTTCATCCCGACCTGGGGCTGTTTGAAGATGAGTAGAAATGGCGGTTGTTTCTTGGGTTTCATGTGGATTTGTTAATTTGTCTCAAGAGTATGGACATAGTGCACCAATTCACTGTCAATCATCAATGTTGCTAGTTGCTATTAACATTTGGCGATTTTGAGCAATCCCCCATTTTTTAAAACCCAATACCATATGTTGTCATTACACAGTCCGTCCCGAGTCCGTCCCGAGTTACATCCCGATGAAAGTGTTGAGTTTTACACCGCCGCTCGATGCCTCGGGGACTGGTCTCTGAGGAATTCTGAAACGATTGAAGCTGGACAAGGAGTTGGCGGTCGAAGGATAGGGATTTCCCAATTTATCCAATAATTATCCAATAATTATCCAATAATTATCCAATAATTATCCAATAATTAATGATGATTTTTGGTGCTTTATTACATTTTTCTCATGAGATGGAACAAAATGCGCGCAAAAATCCATTGGGAGCTCAGTGGATTTCAACCAGAACTTTCCGCCTGAAAAAGCTGGAAAAATTGGTGAAAGCGTTGGGACTAAGCCTACTAAAAACCATGTGGGTGATAATCCACTACTAACTGGGGATTATATCACTTTTAAATGGTGATGAACTCAATTGGGGAAAAAAATCCAGTTACTAACTGGGGTGAACCGCTAAGCTACCTTGGTTTTGCCTGTTGGGGCCCCCTGAGTTTACCTTGAAGAGGTCAACCTGTTAAGCCAGGACTGGATCATCAGGCAACATGAGGTGGATGCGTCCAGTTTCACTGGAAGGATTCACAGCTTGCAGGAGATGGGGCCGAAGGGGGTCAAGCTGTGAGGTACTTCCTTGGCTCCCAAAACCAGCAGTTTCATGTGCCACGTTTTCAAAGCTTGACCCCGGAAATGAGTCGACACTGAGCCAACGTCCCAGCCTCTTCTTGGGAAAGAGAGCCGTGTTCAAAATCTTTTGCCGCTTGGTTTTGCTTCCAAGAATTGACCAAAACAAGCACCATCTCCCTCGGGGTTCCAGCGCCTGGGAATTGGTCTCAACAATTTGACTCATCAAACTGGGTGGTTTCAGATTCTTGAAACGATGATCGCCATTTGTAGAGACCTATGATAGTGCCCTGTTTTTTGCGACATGCTCCTATTGGTTGAAGCATTGTTCAGAACGTTGAAGCAGTTGCACAGCAAGAACTCAGAACATCCCTAGATTTGGCTTTGCACTGCACCCAACTCCGACTATGTCCACTTTGCTAGGAGCTGGACCGCTGCAAGACGACTCTGCACACTCTGCATGTGTCCTGCTGTGACGATGAGGAGCAAATAGACGTGGAGGCTGAGGCCAGCGCATGAGCTCCAGCATTTTTAAGGCATACCGGGCCATACCCAAGTGTTTTCTGGAGAAGGTCAGGGGGGTGTGCAAGATACTCAAAGCACACCACCGCCCAGCAAATTGTGTATCCATTTTTTACATTGTTTTTACGCAAGAAGGAGATTTGCGCAACGATAGCACATCGTGCGTTTCCTCAAACAGTTTCTTATCGTTGATCAGCAATTCAAGAGATTTACGCCTGGTGACTTAAGTTAGAGATGTCTCCAACTTGGGGGACTCTCCCAAAGCCGGACTCGAGAGGGGCTTGAGATACTTGGATATACTTGGTACTTCTGACGAAACATTTGTACGCAGGAAATGCAGCACCGATTGATCCTGATTGTGCTGCTGCAAAGTCCTTTACGCACCGTTCACAATGTCATTTTGTGGGAGCCAAGCCTACAGCCTACCTGCCGGGGTTTTCTTGTAACCCTGACCGTGACGACAGGAAGGCTACCAAGCTTGGTTCTCTCAAATGAGTGGCAGTGAAAAATGGCGCTTTCAACTGGCCAGGGCGCCTTGGCAGAGGTGTAGTTTTGTCATGTTTTCTCCATTTTTGCCATGAAAAAATCGTTTAGATATTGGACTTCACGGGATTCTTGGAGATTCCCATTCATTTTTTCTGTGATTTCCACATTTTTTTGGTGAAACATGATTTGTTGGTCGTTCCGACTCCCCCGTTGCAATGGGGCCGTTTGCGCGCTCATCTCAGGCTTTTGTGGCTGATCCACATGTTTCCTGGCAGATTTCAAGCCGTGGGGCAGAAATGAAACTACCATCCAAAGAAGCAACATCATTAAGCAGGAATCATCTATGAAAAGTCATTCTTGCAGTCATTTTGGGTATGGTTCAAAAACTCAAGTCCTGAACAAAACCACAGATTGTAGTTTGTTTTTTGGTATTTTTAGTATTTTTTAGTATTTTTTCTATCAACAATCCATGGGGTACCCGATTTTTTTGAGCCATACAAAGAGCGTCGCATCGCAGCGTCGCATCTATAGGTCCTGATTGTACATCGTCCGGTGGACGAGTTGGACGATGACTTGAAGGTTTGGGGATCCAACATTTGTCAAAGGTAAACTTTGATGATTTTTGGATGATTCTTCCAATACGTAGGTTATTTGGGAAGAACATGTATATACACATATATATATATACATGATATAAGTACATATATATATAAACAATAGTAATAATAGTATTATAATTACATATATATATACACATCCATTTTTTGAGAAGAAGATAGCGATTCACTACCAAAGAGATTCCAAGGAGTTTGCGACGATTTAAGCCGCGCGCTGTGCGTTGGTTTGGGACCCACCATGACTTGGTTCCGAACACTGAAGTACCCTCTGGTAAACTAACATAGCAATGGAAAATCACAATTTTTAATGGGAAAACTCACTATTTCTATGGCCATTTTCAATAGCTATGTTAAATTACCAGAGGGTACCTAATTACCACCTCTCTCTGAACCGGACGCAAGAAATGATGAAATCCTGTAAAAACCAAGCTGCTCCTGCTAGACCATCGAAAGCCAAAATGACAGAAATAAAGGAAATATGGAGTTAGTTATCTGTGGTTGTATCTCCAGCGAAGTATCTACCAGGTTTAGCCAGAGGCATCTTCTGTTGGTTTCCGACCCTTGGTACAGTACATGGATCCACAAAGGCCAGTTATCCCAGTTGGTAAGTTGTGTCCAACCATGGTTGTAAGCCGATTCTGCCAATTAGCCAATCCCAGCTATATACACAGTACGTATGTATGCAATGTTTGTATGCAATGTATGTATGCAATGTATGTATGGAATGCATGTACGCAATGTATGCATGCATGTATGCATGCAATGGTTTGCAATGCAATGTTATGTCATGGCCATGTCCATGTCCGTGTCCGTGTCCTTGTCCGTGTCCCTGTCCCTGTCCATGTCATGTCATGTCATGTCATGTCATGTATGTATATATATATATATACATATATATCTATACCTAGATACGAGCTATATATGCACCAGGCCCTGCCACCCCCCCCCCCCCCCCCCATGGGATGGGTCCCATTCACTGGCCCCATATGACATCTTCCCCCTCCTCCCCCTGTGGTGTGGTGGGGGTGTGGCACAGTCCCCCTCCCCCCTGTGATTTCTTTTTGTTTACGTGTCTACACAATGCTGTCATGCATGTTGACATGTACACTTAATTCATATCTTTCATGCGCACTCCGCATGGCTCAAGACTAGCAGCAATTCCGCAGCATAGAAAAGAGTGCAGCAGCCACTTCTTGTCCGCAGGTGTTGTATATTAGTTTCCAGGGCTCCCCTAACAGAGGGATTGCTACCTGCTACCTCAAAGTGGTAGCGGAGCCTGTGCCTTCGCCAAGTCTAGATTAGTGTGCCGAACTGCCGTTCTCTGCATACATTCCGTATATCGGACTTGCGGAGGCAACCTGTAGGTCAAGTTAGAGTAGCTGCCATGGTCTTAATCCACAACATGGATTCAGATGAAGAACAACTCCAGATTGTCTCTTATGAAGAGCCTGAAGCATATGCCGCCACCAGTCATTCCGAAAACCGGATGGGCATCAAAATGACACCGAAGGTTCCACCCCAATTTGATGGCCAATCAAGCTGGTTTGAATATGAAGATTTAATTGATGACTGGTTAGGGATCACAACATTGGATGCAGATAAACACGGACCATCATTAAAGAATGCCCTCATTGGTTCCGCTTCTTTTTATAAGTCGATGCTCGATAATGCCCTACTCCGAGATCCGGATCGTGGCCTCGCTCATTTCAAGGACACATTGAGACCATACTTCGTGAAGGGAGTAAATCATGTGTTCCTTTGGCGATTCCTCCAGATGTTTCGCACATATCGAGGCCAGAGTGAATTCGTGCACTGGATAGGGCGATTTGAGATCGCGCAGAAGCGTTTGTTGGCTTCTTGGTCCGATCTGCTGGACATATCCGATCTTCCCGAAGCAGGCACTCAGGCATTTACGGCAGCACTCACAGATGAGCAAAGACTGCACTATAATGGAATAGTAACAGATGAAGATAAGCTAGCTTATCAACAAGAACTGAGAGAACAGACCATAACCAATAGAAGGACCAGACATGCACAGCAGTTTCCATTGTCAGACAATTTGATGTCACTGATTTTTCTAGTGCAAGCAGACCTCAACGAGCAACAACGAGAGCGTTTTGTCTCGTCTATGAACATCCGTCAGATCGCAATGCCTCAATATACCTATCTCCAAGTGAAACAGCTGTTCTTAGAACTTTTTGCCGTTTCTCGCACAGGTGTTGCAGACCCAAACATCACGCACCGCAAGCGGTCCAACTTCTACGTCATCGACGAGGGCGAGACCGAGGAAGGTGAGTACGGATTTTGGGTCTTTGATGAGGAGACGGGTGAAGAAGGTTTCACAGGTCTGTGCACCGAGAACGAGTTCTGGGTTCTCAGCGCCAAGGGTTCATACTCTAAGCGCCGTATCTACGGCAGGTCCTTCAAGAAAGGTAGACCAAAAGGTTATGGCAAGAAAGGAGGAAAAAGATCAAGACCCGGCTTCCGCTCGAGGTCAAAAGGCAAAGGTTTTGCAGCATGGGAAGATGACCAGCAAGACACAGCTTTCTGGGGAAAAGGCAAGGGCAAAGGAAAAGGTAAAAAGGGCAAGAAAGGAATGATGAAAGGAAAGGATTCTTTCAAAGGAATGCCTTCATGGAAAGGAAAAGGAAAAGGTGATGCGAAGAACAAAGGAGGAAACAATCCATTTTTGTCACAACCTCCACAAGCTAATGTAGCACAGGCTGCAACATCCAGTGCATCACAAGCCCCTGAAAAACAAGAAGCAGCCCATGCCGAAGAAAGCTGGAGTTATGACTATGACACATACTGGACAGATGACTGGTCAGGTTATGAATCCTACTATGGATATGACGGAGATTACTCCCAAGGTGATTGGTACAATTGGTCGTATTTTGCTTCCACTGAGGAACTGACCGAATCCGAGGACAAGCATTCAGACGTCATTTTCGAGGACGGACAGACCGACAAGATCAACCGGTTCTGTTTTTCAGGCATCCGCTTGTTCCGATTGTTCGGACACGAACTTGTAGAGGCCCTCACATTCGTGCTTCTGTTCGTGTCTGTGATGTACCAGTGCTTTTCTGATTTGAACAGGTCCCTATTGAAGAGCATCCGCCAAGTTGAGAAGAGTGTTTCTACCGAAAACGGTGATCTGCATTCGTTTCAGCCGCGCACAAGCCCGCTCAATTCCGTCTCAACGGAAGAGTGTGTATTTCTCAATTATGATCATGGTGCCCAACAAGCATTGCTTTGTGAATATGTAGATTTAGGTTCTCATCCGACTTATGTCATCCTTGACTCAGGTTGCACTCGAGCCATGGGATCCCGCTTTGCCATTGATCGCCTTGTACAGGCTTGCCAACAACATCCCAAGCGTGATCACATTTGGTTTTCTAAGCAACCATGTTCAAGTAAGTTTTCATTTGCCAATGGAGAACAATCTACTGTCAAGGAAAGATTAGTGATTCATTTTCGCAATGATCGCGCACAAACTGGTTGGATCACAACATGCGTTGACATCCTGGACAAAGGTAAGGTTCCTATCCTCTTTTCAGTTGAACAAATGAGGAATCTTCGCATGAACATTGAGCACACTCCTGTAGGTGAGTTCATGACTTGTCCACTGTTTGGAATGCAACGCACCGCATTGGCGGTCAGTACATCCAACCATCCAGTCCTTGACATTATGGCTCTTGCTACTTCCAGTTGGAAACCGATGTACAGCTTTCAGTCCGAAGACATCACATGCCCAGCATGCAATGGTAAACATCGACCACACACCAACAAGGAAGGTTGCAAGAGATTCAAGGGATCAGAGCCTAAGCCAGCAGAGGTGCCGAAACCGGCCAAGCCTGATTCTAAGAAGATTGTCAAGAAGATAATTCAGCCTGATAGCAAGTTAGAAGTACCAGCTCAACCTTTTGATCCTGATGAAGAGCCAATGGTGGCCTCTGGGCCAAGTTCCGGTTCGAAGGACGGTATCCCAAGACGTCGGGAACCTCAGATTGAAGAAGAACCTGAAGTCAAACCGGAACCAAAGGTTGAAGTAAAACTTGAAGAGAAAAAGGAACCGTCACCTAAGGGAACTTTGTCACTAGCACTTCAGAGAATTCATGATAAGCTTCAATCACCCACAGAACTTCTCAAGTTGCATTTGAAGCATTATCATATGACCACTGAACAGTTCAAAAGAAGAACATCGGCTCTGAAGTTGCCGAAAGAAATTTACGACAAATTTGATCAGATTACCAAATCATGTGACACATGTTCCACTGCCAGGATTGCACCATCGAGAGCTAAGGTTTCAGGAATCCGAAGTGAAGTCTTTGGTGAACTTACTTTCATTGATCATGGAGAAGTTCCTATCAATCCTCAGTCAAAACTTCAATTCCTACTTATGTATGATGGTGCAACTTCTTTGACTACTGCCTTTGTAGTTCAAAACAGATCTGATACGGTGACGATATCTCATCTTCAAGAATACTTTGAAACTTATCAGCTGAATCCAAAATACATTGTGACCGATCAAGCTTTCATGGGCACTGAGATGGAGAGTTATTACAACCGGCACAGCATCAGGCCAATCTCTCTAGGACCAGGAACACCATGGCCAAATCGAGCTGAAGCAGCCATTCGCATGTTTAAGAAACAGGTCTCTTTAATGCTAATCTCCTTGAAAGATGATCCATTGCTTGCTAACATTACTTATAAACAGTTGTTGAGACAAGCCTGCATTTCAAGGAACACCATGGTAACACTCGGTGGTGTCACTCCTATTGAATTAGCATTTGGAAGAAGACCTGCCGATCTTACGGCGATTGAGCTCATGAATCCAGCACAGCTCACGACTGAGACCCCTGCTCCTGAGAGACAGATTGAAGCACTAAGGTCACTGGCGATGCGAAAGTTTCTAGAGGCAAAACAGTCTGATGACCTTCGAAGAGATATTGCAAGCAAACT